TGTCCCAACTTTTTTGGGATTTGTTGATGCCATGAAATTTGGAAACAACAGATTTTTTCCTTAAAATGATACATTCTCTCAGTTGAAACTTTTGATCTATGATTTGTGTTCTATTCTGAATAAAATATTAGATGTTGGCACCTCCACATCATTGCATTCAGTTTTTATTCACAATTTGTTTAGTGTCCCAACTTTTTTGGAAACCGGTTTGTACAGTAGTCCCTCGCTACTTCGCAGTTCAACTTTCGTGGACTCGCTCTTTCGTGGTTTTTCAACGTAAGATTGTACAAGACACATGATTGTCAACTTTAATATTACTCACGTGATTAGGATGGTATGGGATAAAAAGTTAGCGAAAACAAAACTTCAGACAGACACCACCATTTTGTAGTTTTCTTTCAATAAGTCTACACTGTAACAACAGTCAAAAGAACTACATTACCCAGAAACCAACAGTGCTTCCGGCCACTGCTTTCTGTCGAAATGGAGGGAAAGTTTAGCAACGCAAAGTCAGAAGTAACAATCTATCTATTAAACTCACAGAACTGGCAGAAAAGTCGCAAATAATCCTGAATATTCTTGAAGCTCAATCATCCACGTGTACATCAACCTGGTGAAGCCCACCTAGTGGTGGGCTTCATTGCTGCAGGATAGGTCTGCAGAGCTAGAATAGAGCTGCTGGTCTGCAGAGCTGGTGAGTAAAATTTTGCAGAACATATACATATGTTGTTAAAAAGAAGCAGGTTAAAGAGTTTAGAACATTGCATGAGTGTGGGAAGGGTTTATAAAGCCTTAATATATATATATATATATATACTAAAATAAATATAGCATTCCAACTTAACGATTTTTCACCTGTCGCAGTGGCACCTGGAATGTAACCCCGCAATAATCAAGGGACTATTGTATCCCAACCCCTCGCGCAAATACCGTACATACATCCGTCCGTCCGTTATCTTTACCCGCTTATTCCATTTTGGGTCACAGGGGTCGCTGGTGCCCATGTCCAGCAATCACTGTGCGAGGGGCGGGGTACACCCTGGACGGGTCGCAAGTCCATCACAGGGACACATAGAGACAAACGAGACAAACAACCATTTACTCTCTCACTCACACCTAGAGACATTTTAGAGTTACCAATCAGCCTAACATGCATGTTTTTGGTCTGTGGGAGGAAACCGGAGCACCCGGAGAAAACCCACGCATGCACGGAGAGAACATGCAAACTCCACCCAGAAAGGCCCCTGGACCGGGGTTTGAACCAAGGACCTGCTCGCTGAGAGGCAGCAGCTCTACTAGTTGCGCCACCGTGCTGCAATTTCCTCAGACTGGAGTACTCTGTCGAACTTGTGACCTGCAGTTGCAAATCATATGCCACAGGAGACAATAAACTTGTTGAAGTTCTTGATTCCACTTTTAATTTGGAAAATCCACAATACAATCAACAAGCTTCTGGCTCAATTCCGTCTGGAGTCTGGACCGCTCCTCTTGGCAGAATTAGTAGAGTTCCATTTAATTGGTTGGTTTCCTGACACATACATGCTTTTAAACACCAAAGTTCATGCTCAACAATCCTCAAATGCCTCAGAGGAGTTGACGGGGGAGAGGGCAGGCCCCGAAGGCCATCTTAGCACCAGCAAACTGTTTTTTTTTTTTTTTGTAGTATGCTGTTTGTGGGAATCAGTTTGTTGGTGGCTCCTCAAATTGAAGAAGTCCTTTGGATGGAGGACCAAACGTCTCAGGAAAAAAAAAAAGAAACCATTCATGACCTGACTGAACATTGTAGGCTTTTAAACAGTTCACAAATTTTCAACAGGACTAAGATCAGGAATCAAAAGTCTGTTTTATCCATTCAGAAACCAGTTCTAATGTGTTTGGGGTCTCGTTAAAACACAGAACAGTGTTCAAATTTCTGCTTGACATGTGTGCCTGCTCAGTCTATAGGCTGTATGGGTCTGCTCTGCTGGGTGCTTTATGTGAATTAAAAAAAGACACTCATGTTGTCAAGTGAACGCAGCAAGTCAGAAAAACAGGAAGATTCCTTGAACCTGTGAGTTGTTCAAAAACTCTCCATTTTTTAATAATGTACTCTGTTTTTTTTATCTCCCCTGAACTGCTGAATCAGAATATTTCTTGAGTAAATTAGGTACTTGGTTTTACTTTTCTGCTTGACAAAACAAACACTTCAGCACTGAACATTTTTCAGAGTGAGTCTTTTTTTAAGGAGCAGAAGAACTGGTGAGGGAGTGTGTTTGGGCTTTGTCTCATGTGCAAAGGAAGATTGATAAAGTGCTTAAGACAAGCAGGAAAGTAGTCCCATTTGTATAATCATATACATTTGGCAAAAAGGTCAATTTAAATGTAAGCTAATAAAGTTAGAGATGCTGTTTTTTTCTCCAATTTCCAATGTTTTAAAGCTCTGACCCGCAGTTTGCAGATCATCATGTTATTGAACAAAGGTATTTGCACAAATAAAACCCAACTAAAAATACTTCCCACTCAGTAATTTGGACCTAAATATGTCACCTACTATATGCGGAAGGCGATTTTTTAAAAGAAGACACAGTTGTAAGGTTAGCAGGAGACAAACCTCTGTAGAAAATCCAGTTTCCTTTTTGGAGCCTCACAAATCTTGTGTTCTC